CATCTCTATTCCTTTCTTATCATAAACACATATGATCTCAAAAGCAAACCTTTCTCATCTTGTGTTACTGACATAATCAAACATAATGAAAAATTATTTATCTGTTTAGACAACAACTCAGGTGCACTTTAACGTTAATAATTTTAGGTACTCATACAAAAGCATGTTTATGTGATTCTCTTCAATTTGATTCTTCAACTAGCTCACAATAAAAATGAATTTATTTAATCGAATACTACTTATTTATTCTGTAATACAGATTTTGAAATCTGATCCAATAAATCGTGATATAATAATTGATGGTAATTTTGATGATTGGTTAAATGTTCCATCTTATAGTGATCCAAGAGATAATATAAATGGTACAGTTTATCAAGAAAGTCCATGGTTTCCTTCATTAAAAATTCCAGATTGTCATGATGCACACACTAAAATACCAACTGACATGCCAAAACATACTTATAATCCAAATGTAAATATAATTGAATTTAAAATAGCCCACGATGATTCATCGTTATATGTATATTATCGTGTAGTTGATAATGGAGTCATTGGTAAGACTTCAGTTGGATCGGATAAATTTAATCGAAGTGATCCATCAAAACCATCAGCTGGAAGGTTTTATATAATAGCAACAGTTAATCTTGATATGAATGACACAACAGGTTATTGGTTACATGAAGGTGGTTATTATCCAACCGCACCTGGTTTTGATGCAAATTTTGAAATTGAATTCTATAACGGCACATATAATCAAGGTTATTATCTCGATCATGCTGCTAATAATACTAATGAGACCAAGTATACAAGAGAAGAAAATATACAAAATAAGTTAGCATTTCGTCCTGCCTATTATGAATACTACACTGAATACGTTTATTGGAGACAGAAGCCAACTCAAGATGAAATCAAAAGATGTTTAGATGGACCATATGAATTACCTAGTCCATATAACAATAGTTATATCTGTTTTAGTCAAGATTTAGCACCTGGACCATACAATGGCATTGTAACTTATGCGCTGAGTGCAAAAGGCAACGAATTAGAAATGCGAGCTCCATTTCAAGGATTCTTATTAAACAAAGATACAGGCCTGCCAACTTTACAATTGGGAATGACAGTAAATATATCTTTATCATTAGAGACAACTCCAGAATATTCAATACCACAAGAATGGGCCTCGGATACAACAGCAACAATTCAATATACACTCTCAGAAAGATGAACGATAATGCACAATATTTTTTGAAACTCATAATGATACACGTGTTTTTTGTTACTAATATGTTACTCTTTTGTGTTATTCGTTGCTATTTCGTTGGTTAAAAATGTTTATTAATTCCAAAAGGTTCCTCAACAAATGGATTGATTTGATTCAAAAAGAATTTTGTCTTGATATTCAAGATATGAATGAATTGCACCTTTTTGATACTATTGAAGAAAAAAAACTGAAAGTAGACTTGAATCAGTTTTAAGTAGCGCTTTTTATTATACTACATGCCTATGTTATACAGCGAAAATTTCCCAACATTTTACTAAGTATTAGCTGAAGTACCATTTTCTAGAGTGTAAATGTACTGTAAAACATGTTAGCTGAATGAAAAATGTCTTTTAATCCTTTGAGGACGGGGCTACTTGGAAAACAATGAAATTTTCAAAATTCTAAAATGATGTATATATTAGACAGAAAGTCAATGAGGGTGCAATATACATAGTAGTGTCACACTGTATTGGAAGTGACAGATTTATGACCTGCACCAGCATGTAGGCCATAACAATACCATAAGATACAAATACAAACCAGCTATGGTTCGATCTAGAACCATTGCTTAAATATAGGCTTCCCGTCCGCAAAGAATTAATACAAGTAGCACTCATCCAAGGAATTCGTTGATCTTTTTCTGTAAGAGTGGCAGTGTATTCTAAGATAGAAAATTATTAATGATTTTATAGAATGTTTTACTCCTTGATACTACTAATTAGTGTTCTGTGTGATTGTCATTTTTGATCACGATGACAGTTTACACAGTATTTTAAAGCGTAAAAATAACTTCGGTGTTTAAGTCATATATGAACTGTCAGATCTTCTTTTGATTTAAATGTGAAGCATTAAGTTTCGAATAAACAGTTAAGATTTTAAATACATATAACGGATGAGACAAAATTTTTGTTCATTTTTTATCTACTTGAAAATGTATCCAACAAGTAAAAAGCTATGGTTTATGATCAAAATTTTGTGCACTTTCCAAACATGACCTTGGAAATTTTCTCTCAGTTTTTATTCGAGAGTAATGAGATAATCTGTCAAAGGTTCAAAAAATTATTTCGCATATTTTTGTGTTTTCGTTATCATGATTCGAAACTAATAGTTGAAACCTTTATTGTTGTTTCGACTTGTAGAGCAGAGGCTACACTACAAAATGCACTCTTTAAGAGTGTTTTATCCTTCAAATAAGGCATCTCAATTTCCATTGTTCTTAAATCCTCAGTTTTGAAAAATCGACTTCTTGCACAAAAAGAAACGTTTTCGTAATAGAAGCTCTTGAGTAAGCACTATTCAGTTCAATCTCACAATTTCTAAAGCTCTTCTATAAAATGACAGACTTCCATACTGTTTAGCACTTTTTTGAAAAGAAACATACAGATCTTTGCAACATATGTTGATTCGCCATTCAAATTAATTAAATTTTTTTAGATATCTCAAAGATTTTCTCACTACTCTAGAATAAAAATAGGCATAACATTTTTAAGTTTATATTCACAGAGAGCACAAAATTCTGATCAGCACTCCATAGGTTTTGACTTATTGGAAACATTTTCAAGCAAGCCATGAGAAGAAATGAACAAACATTTTGTCTCAAAAGTTTCGGGCCACCCATTATTATGATCGTGATCACACAATACACTACTACTAGTTATTCGGAAAACTATTTTCAGTGCTTCTGATCTATGTTTTGTGACAATCACTTCTCACAGAGAACAAACATGCCAGTTTCAATTCGATTGATTACAATCTTTATTTTAATCTACAACTCTACTATGAAGAGAATACATCCTACTCAGTGAAAAATATTTCAAACAAAAATCGGAAGAGAACGCGTTCGTTAGATTAGAGAAAGATTTTTTTATCCATTAAGATCATGTTTCATAATTTTTTGAATACGTTCTCTATTTGAAGAAATGCGTTCTTTGCCGTTTCTCACTACTATAGAGTGCTTTCTTATCTGTCCTAAATCGTTCCTGATCTGAGTAGAAAACATTCTAAACCGTTCTATTAATTATGAGAATGGTTTCCTTTTCATTCTTCTTTGAAAAGGTAAAGAACGGATTTCTTCAAAATAGGATGGCTTTATTTGATGCTCTCTATAGAATCGCTCAAGAATAGATTCTTTAAATTGATGAATCAGTTCAAGATGATTCAACATTCTAGAAACTATAGAATGCGTTCTTGTTCGTTTCATAAGCTCCATTGGATAAATTCCTATATTGAGAAAGAATATTGATTCGTTCAGTTATCTTTCTTAATATTTTCAAAATAATACTTTTTCTCTTGACTAAAATTGATCAACATAATTTTCTACTATGTTTTATGAGCAACTATCTTCAATATTGACTCTTAACTGTCAATGTTGAGATATTTTGTATTTCTAAAAATGATACAAAGAGCAAAAAATGTGAAGTGAAATTAAATATCTTACGAAAATTCAGACTTGTTTGTAAAGCAAAGAAACATGAAGTGTTCACTGCAGTGCAGAAAAGAAAAAAACAAAGAAATTTATTAAACAATTATAAGAAAAATATTTTCTCAGTAGAATTTTTTTCAATCTACTATTCTGTTTTTGTATGGAAAAAATATGTGGTGCCACTTATCTCAACATTTCGAAAAAAAAATTCGATTACTATTAGATAGATGGATAGGATATACGATAAATAATTAGAATGGGATAAGTATACAGGGTAATAATAAAAGACCGAAAAAAATATTATTGACTATCTATGATCAATCTATGATTCAAACCAATGATAACAAATCCTACTTTTTCGGTTTTTTATTATTACTCAAGTATATAGGATACAATAGGATAGATACCAAGTATCTCATAAATAGCACCACGATAAAAAAATTCAAATATCTCCATTCGAGTTCAATAAAATAGGATGACTTTTTCGTTCATAATAGAACTTTATTCAAAATTTTTTTTTCATATGGATACTATAAAGCAAATACTTCTATTAAGTATTATTGTTGATCTGACAAAAGAAATTTTATTTATTATCAAGTAAGAAAAATATATGTAAATCGTTTCATAGATAATTTTTAGTTATCACTTAAAAAAACAAAAAGCAGAATTCAAAACAAACTTTATGAATGATGCAATATTGATGCAAATATACCAAAT